TCATTTCCACTTTATTTTCAGTTTCTGGGCCACGTGTGATAAGGTCCTTAGTGGCAGTGCTGCAGAGAGCCTTTTCCAATTATTTGAATTGTATCTGGCACTGTCTTTCCTTTTCAAGGAAACAACAACAAAAAAATTAGGAAGTGGGTGGATATACTTTTGCAAACTTTTGAAGCTCCACTGGCTTCTTTGTCAGGCAAAGGTGTTAAAAATCATATAGGAGAGGAAAATGGACAATGTTAAAACTGTCAATTTTAGGAGCTGGGTGGACACCCTCGGAAGTAGAGCACTGGCCTCAAGCTGCCAAAACTGCAGCTTGTAAGAAAATTAAAAGTTTCTTACAAGCAAAGGTGACTTGGATTTGTCTTAATATTTGAAACCGGTGTTTTAAGAATCCTGTTTGTTTATCACTTTGTTTATACTTAATATAATATCTGAATTTGTATAAAATTGATAGCAAAATTTATTTTATAAAATCGATAGTGAAATTACAAGACTTTGCCCTGTTGGATATACAACGTTGGATCCAGATACAGCTGCGTTTAGAAGAAATAAATGGGATTTACCATGCATAACCTGAGTTCAAAAATAAAGTTTTACTATTTTTGTCTATATTTTTAATGTTCTTCTCATATTTATTTCTTCTCATTTTCCACCCTAAAGACAGGCAACACAAAGAAAATTAAGCACCATTTTCAGTGAACCACTTTTTCTACGCACTTCGTTGTTCTTTGATGCTGCTCTTGGTTTAAGAGCCAAAAGGAAAACATAATTCCAAAAGGCTTTTTCTGATACATAATGGACAAGTCATTGTTTTTTCTGGCTTTCTCCCCAGAATCTTTCTTTCACTTATATAGTATCCAGTCAAAACCTCTGGATGTAGTTCCATGATGCTGGCAAAATAATGAACATGAACCTTTTCCCTGTGATTATCATAATCTAACATTTCTTTGAGCCACTTTTGTGTAAAAGTCACCAAGCTTTCCTGGCTTCTTCTCTAATCCTTTTCATATGCACATTATTTCTCTTCTCCCCATTCTCTAGGTTGTCAAGTTCAAGAGTTATTTTATTCCACTGCTTAACTTCCCTTTGTAATTTTCTTGTTATGTCTTAACTGTAAAAATCCTTTGCATCTTTGCTCTTTTAATTAAAAGAAAGTCCCACTCATTTCTACCTTTTTCATATACATATACTTCTACAGTAATGCATTGTTTTTGGACAGAACTACACTGGGATACATGTCACCA